GGTGCAGGCGGGTGGCTTTCCTGGCAGCTGAGCGAGCGAGCGGACGTAACGCTCCAGAAAAACGCGGGAGCACCCGTCTGCTCCGTGCTCCTTTCCCTTCGGTACGTGCAGGAATGTGACTTCTGTGCTGAACTCACCTCTGGGCCTATTTATTATTGGTTTTGTTGATTTTACAGGGTTTTCAAAGTCTTTTTGAAAAGAAGTTATGATCTAATTTTCTTGGGGGGGTGAGGAAAAGAAATGAAAGGGCCGGGAGGGAGACCTCCAGCCCCCCTGGCGTTGGAGGGGTGAGGGACTTCGTCGTAAGGCTGTTCCGTGGAGGAGCGGCGCCCTCGGGCGTTGCAGTGATAAACCCTGCGTTATTAAAGGTTTTTTTTTTTTTTTCAAATGTTTTTTTGGGGCCCCTGTGCGTCGTCTGGTCCCGAGACACGCGGCCCCCGGGCTGAGCGTCGCCTGGGCCTCTCGCTGCTGCCGCAGCAGGCTGGCTGGCTGGGGGCTGCTCTTTGCCTTGCTTCAAGGCCAGTGTTGTATGTTGGCACTTCGGTAGCAAAACTGAACTAACAATCATGTTCTTAGAGTGCGGGAAGGGCATCTGAGGGCGGATGTTAAACGTGGTTTTTTCTGCAGTCCAGCAGATTTGGGATATACACCACAGAAAACGATAGTGCCTTCGACACCAGGCAAGTCTGCTTTTCAACCAGGTTCTTTGTACCTTTTTATCCTTGCGTTGGGCTTGTTGCAAACGTGTGGATTTGACTGTTCTCCTCTGCTCCTCACACGCTGGTTTTCAGGATTCTATTTTTTTTTTTTTAATTGTATTACAATAACCTTCTTGCCTTGAGTGTTAGTTTATAAATGACACTTCTTGCAAGATTCTTTAATTCAATCAATTTCCAGATCCTGCCTATGGAATATGTATTACTAAAACTAGAAATAGTGTTGACATTTATAACTGAAGACAGTTCTCTCACGGAAGTTGTTTTTAACAGTGTAAATTTGCGAACTCTGAGAAGCTCTGTCATGATGATAAAGGTGCTTCAGTTTCATTCTCTGTTTTCCAGTCATTTGTTGGAAAAAAAAAAAAAAGTTTTACCTATGAAGAAGGAGGCATTTGCCTCTCTGCACTCTCTACAGGGATCTGTTCCTAGCGAGCGGGTTTCTTCTCGTGTCAGTGGGTTCGAGGCTGCTCTGCAGGTGCTCTGCCTGCGGCGCAGCGGTGGGAACGGGCAGCGGCACCGAGGGCGCTCGGGTGGGGGGTAGGGACCAAACTGCTCTCGCACGCTCCCCCACAGCCGCGGCCCTGGGGTGGAGGAAAGCGCTCTGCTCCCTCCGGCCCCTTGTCTGAGTCGACAGACAGATTACACCTGGAAAAAACGACCAGAAACAGAAAACAAAAGGGGAAAGACCTCACGTGGTCGCCCGGTCCGGCTCCTCGCTCCGAAGTCGGATCAAGTTTACACCTCCCGCGTTCCTGCTCGCCACGTCTAACCTGTCTGCAAAACGTCCCGATGGAGCAGGGAGGGATTACCCAGACCTCTGACTTCCCAGGAGAGCTCACCGCCTTGCCCCTGCCTCTGCAACTGCGTGGAAGATACTCAGAGGAGGAAAAAAAATATTCAATTTTGAATAGATAAGGCTGGAGACATGATTTTCTGCATGTTTACATGCTAGAACATGAAATTAATTTACTTGACACTGTAGTGTCTCAGGAGTAAGTATCAATTTTTATAGCTTACATGAAAATAAATCTTTTTTCTCCGTACAGCACAACGAGTATACTGTATGTACATTTGCTTCTGTTTATATACACAAATATTTAAGTACATGAACACATCGGGAACTGACAAACGGGGTTTTTCTCTGCTCTACAAGGGAAGTAGAAGGGAACGGGTGCGTTCTGGCAGTCCGTCAGGAAAGCAGATCGTGTGGCTTTGCCCCAGTCACTGGCAGGTATCTACAGAAAACAGAACGAGGGCCAAGTCCTCCCTCCAGCCATAAAGACCCGTCGGATTTGGACGCCGCGGAGAACACGGAGCGGGGGCCGGCGAGCGGTGGCGAAGCCCGCTCTCGCCCGGAGCGAAACGAGCCGCCTTCACGCCGCGCCCCGCGGGCGCGGGGATCATCCAGGGAAATGCGCAGCGGCGCAAAGCCCCG